TGAGTCGGTGGGTCGGTCCATCGGTCCGACGGTGGGTCGGTCGGACGGACGGACGGACGGACGGTCGGTCGGTCGGTGGGTCAGTCAGTCGTCGTCATCATCATCATCATGATAATAATCTCGATAATCAGCCGAATAATGATACTAGTGCTCCAATGGATGATAGTATGTAAACTGTTATTATGAACCCTAGTTGTACAACATAACAATAATACGAATAAATAGTAACGACAGAAATATTACTAACAATATGAAAATAGTAATGGTACGAAATGATATTACAAAATAATGAGAGTGACGGTAATATAACATACCGGAATAATCACAACAACGTGCAATAACAGGATTGATAAGAACGACGTGTTTCTATAATAATGATTGAAAAACAGCAGCAACAGCAGCATCATAGACAAGGATCGTAATTATAACAGTATAACTAAATTGAGTAAGCGAAAACAAAAAAAAAACAACAACAGCAGCAACGGCACCAACAATGACACCATTAGCATCAACAACAACAACAACAACCACAACAACAGCAATAGCAGTAGGACTAAAAGCACAACGTGGAAATCATGTTCTAACGATGACGCTAATAACAGTGATAATGATAACAGGAAGTATAAGAATATCAATGGAACCAATGCGAATAATAGTAATAAACCTGATAAGAGTGACGACCATAATAATAGAACGAACAGTAATGATATGACTAAGAATACTAGAATAGCAACAACAATAATGATAAGCAGCAGCAGCAGCATGATCAGCAATCCTCATCATCAGCAGCAGCAGCACTACCATCATCATCACCAGCAGCAACACCATCATCATCGTCATCCTCCTCACCACCATCATCATGACCATCACCAGCACCATCACCATCACCACGACCATGACCAGCACCATCACCATCATCATCATCATCATCATCATCATCATCATCATCATCATCATCATCATCATCCCCCTCGTCGTCGTCGGCATCATCATCCTCCTCTTACTCCTCCTCCTCCTCCTACTCCTTGTCCTCCTCGTCCTCGTCATCATCATCAGCATCATCATCACCGTCGTCGCCGTCGTAAGCAGCAGCATGACCATCATCAGCATCATCAGCATCCACTATTAATCATCATCCTCCTCCTTCTCCCTCCTCCTCCCCCTCCTCACCTCCCCCTTTCCCAGCTCATCCCCTCCTCCTCCCACCACCCTTCACACTTTCCCCTCCTGCCTCTCCTCCCATCCTGCCCCGCGCACGGCGCAGCTCGACTGTGCGCATCATCGGTCCGTCGACGCCTTCGCCCGACCTCCCTGCGCGCCTCCGGGGCCTGTGTAGACCGCTCGCGCTTTGCAGCGAGGACGCTGGGATCGAGCGGCACTGCAAATGCCAGGCATCTAGGATCAGGATCCGATTCGACACCCGATCAGGCGAAAACATCAACAATCAAAACAAAATCATTTAACAAACAAAACGCACCACCATACCAAAACAGCAGCAACAACAACAGCAGCAGCAACAACAACAGTCACGGTAAAAATGTTCGCCCTTTATCTGCTCGCGGTCCATTCAACACCGCCCGCTTCGTCTTCGATCGTACCCCCCTAGGGGTATATACCTTTCTTACCTGCAACGTGTACTTCGGGCAACCCCAAAGGCAAGGGGAGAGAGGACGGATGGAAAGAAGGCACAAGGGTGAGGGAGAAGAATGGAGCACGAGAGAAAGTAGCAGGAAGGCGGCTAGGAGCAGAAAACACGTGGCAGAACCAGACGGGAAGATCGGGCGGGTCCACTCTCCCCACTTTCCCCACGGTCCCAACCACTGTCCCACTGTCCCCACTGTCCCCACTGTCCCACTGTCCAACTGTCCCCGCCGCTGTCCCACTGAGCTGTCCCACTGTTCCCACCACTGTCCCCACTGTCCCCACCACTGTCCCCACTGTCCCTCTGTCCCATTGTCCCACCACCGTCCTCGCCACCGCCCCCACCACTGTCACCACCACCACTGTCCCCACCACTGTCCCCACCACTGTCCCACTGTCCCCACCACATTCCCGCTGTCCCCACACCACTGTCCCCACCACCACCGTCCCAACCACTGTCCCCCAGTCCCCACCACTGTCCCACTGTTCCCACCCTTGTCCCCGCTGTCCCCACCAGTGCCCCCACCAGCGTCTCACTGTCCCCACTCTCCCCACCACGGTCCCACTGTCCCCACTTTCCCCACAGTCCCCACCACTGTCCCACTGTCCCCACTGTTACCACCACTGTCCCACTGTCCCCACTGTCCCCGCCGCTGTCCCACTGTGCTGTCCCACTGTCCCCACTGTCCCCGCCACTGTCCCACTGCCCCACTGTATTACTGTCCCACCACCGTCCTCACCACCGCCTTCACCAGTCCCCACCACTACCGTCCCCACCACTGTCCCACTTTCCCCACCACTGTTCCGCTGTCCCCTCACCACTGTCCCCACCACCATCGTCCCCACCACTGTCCGCACCACTGTCCCACTGCCCCCGCACCAGTCCCCACCACCACCGTTCCCACCACTGTCCCAGAATCCCCACCACTGTCCAACTGTTCCGAGGAGCGGGAATCCTTTGCGGGCGGCGAGGGGGCGGGGTTCGAACCGGTAATGACCACCCCTGGTTTTCGAGGGGGGGAGGGGGGTTTCGAACCGGTAGTGACCCCCCGCCCCTTTTCATGATGGAGTGGGGGGGAGGGTTTCGAACCGGTGGTGACCCCGCCCGATTTTCGAGGGGGGCGGGGGGACGGGTTGGAAACCCCCGGTTACCCCCCCTGGTTTTCCGCCAGCAGCGGTAGAACACGCTCTTTCCAGACTAATGATCAGCAAGCGCTAGACATGTGCAAGTGGGATCACATTCTGGACGAGATCTTCGAGCCTCTGGAGATCTGGGTCGACCCTCGTCTTGTCTATTAGGTTTTGCGTTCTGAAGGAATTTCCGAGCCAGGCCTGGCCGTGGCGACGATGACACCTGAGGACGCGCAAAAATTCGAAAAAACTTCTATCCTAAATCCGCGAACGTCCCTTGGCCTCCCCTCCAGGGACATCGGGCGTCTCCGTATTTTCGAGGCACGGGCCCCCGTCATGTCGACCACTTCCCCGAGACTGGTTTTGCGTCCCGAGTCGCTTCTCGAGGGCCCCGAGGACCAGCAAGGGCCCCGAAAGGCCGAAAATCATGAAAAACTACATTTTGAGCATTTTCGAACCGCCAGATGTCTGGTTCCTGCCCCTCGGAAGGGGGGCGTCATCATCATCGTCATCATCATTGTCGTCCCCATCATCATCGTCATCACCATCATCATCAGCAGCAGCATCATCATCATCAGCATCATCATCAGCATCATCATCATCAGCAGCATCATCGTCATCGTCATCATGACCATCGTCATCATAGTCATCATCATCATAATCACCACCGTCATCATCATAATGATAATCATGATCGTCGTCGTCCTCGTCATCATCATCATCGTCATCAGCAACATGATGATCTGCATGCTCATCATCATCAGGAGCAGCAACATCATCATCAACATCGACATCGTCATCGTCATCGTTATCATCATTAGAATTGTCAACGTCACCACCAGAATGATCATCATCATCATAATCATCATCCTCATCAGCAGCATCATCATCATCGTCATCGTCGTCATCAGATCAATATCATCATCGTCATCATCGTCGGTATCGTTGTCATCGTCGTCATCATCATCGTCATCCTCATCATTGTCGTCATCATCATCGTCATCTTCTTCTTCACCATCATCATCATCATCATCATCGTCACCATGATCAGAATCATCATCATCAGCATCGTCATCATCATCGTCGAAGTCGTCATCGTCATGCTCATCAGGATCCTAAATCATCATCAGCATCAGCATCATCAGCATCATCGTCATCATCGTTATCATCGTCGCCATCGTCGTCATCATCATCATCGTCGTCATTACCATCGTCGTCGACATCATCATCGTCATCATCATCGACGTGATCTTCGTCTTCCTCATCATCAGCATCGTCATCATCAGCATCGTCATTATCAGCAGCGGCAGCAACATCATCATCGTCATCATCATCATCAACAAATTCATCATTATCCTCATTATGAGCCGCAGCATCATCATCACCAACATCGTCATCGTCATCGTCATCGTCATCGTCGTCGTCATCATCACCATCATCGTCGTCGTCCTCATCATCATCGTCATCATCATCATCAGTATCATCATCATCAGCATAGTCATTTTCTTCATCCTCATCAGCAACATCATCGTCATCATCGTCATCGTCTCCATCATCAGCACAACCGTCAGCATCGTCGTCGTCATCATCGTCATCGCCATCATCGTCATCGACATCATCGTCATCGTCGCCGTCGTCACCATTATCTTCGACATAATCAGCCTCGTCATCATCGTCGTCAACGTCGTGAGCATCCCCAGCATCATCATCATCGTCATCCTCATCCGCATCATCAACATCATCATCATCGTCATAAGAAGCATCATCTTCAGCAACTCCATCACCAGCAGCATCATCATCATCGTCGTCGAGATTCTCGCCAGCATCGTCATCAGTACCATAACTATAACCGTAGTCAATATCGCCGCCATCATCACAATCACCGTCATCATGAATTGCGTCGTCACCACCGAGAACATCACAATCATCGTCGCCGTCGTTGTCATCACCATCACCATCATGATCAGCATCGTCATCGTCATCATCATGGTCTTCATTGTTGTCATCGTCGTCATCATCACCATCAACAGCATCATCATCGTCATTATCATCGGAATCATCGTCGTCATCGTCGCCATGATCATCATCACCATCGCCATCATCAGCAGCACCAGCTCCATCAGCATCATCACCATCATCACATCATCATATTATCATCATCGTCATCGTTATCGTCATGAGCCATCATCGTCATCGTCGTCACCATCATCGTCGTTGTCATCATGAGCATCATCGATACCAGCACAATCAGCATCATCGTCATGATCGTCGTCATCCCCGTCATCAACATCATCACCATCATCATCATCATCGTCGTCGTCAGCATCATTATCATCAGCATCAACATCATCAACGTAATCATCTTGATCATCATCGTAGTCATCGTCGTCGTCATCAGCCTTATCAGCATCGTCATCATCATTAGCGTGAACATCATCATCAGCAGCAGCAGCATCATCATCATCAACGTCATCACCGATGCCGTCACCGTCACCATCATCATCATCACCGTTGCCGCCGTCGCCGTCATCATCATCATCATCATCGTCATCGTCATCGTCATCGTCATCGTCATCATAATCATCATCGTCATCATCGTCGTCATCGTTGTCAGCATCATCGTTGTCAGCATCATCGTCATCACTATCATCATCATTACCACCATCGCCGTCAGTAACATCATCATCATCGTCATCATCAGCATCATCATCATCCTCGTCATCTCCATCATCAGCATCATCATCAGCCTCATCATCATCATTACTATCAGCATCATCATCTTCATCATCGTCAAAAGCATCATTTTCATCATCATCGTGGTCGTCAACACCATCATCACTATCAACATCGTCGTCGTCATCATCAGCATCATCATGATCGTCGTCGTCATCATCATCATCATCGTCATCATCATCATCATCATCATCGTCGTCGTCATCATCATCGTCATCATCGACGTCATCGTCGTTATCATAATCACCATCGTCGTCATCATCATCGTCATTATCATCATCGTCGTCATCTAATCATCACCGTCATCATCAGCATCAGCATCAGCATCAGCATCATCATCGTCATCGTCATCGTCATCATAATCATCATCGTCATCATAGTCGTCATCGTTGTCAGCATCATCGTCACCACTATCATCATCATCACCACCACCATCGTCGTCATCACCATCGTCATCGTCATCATCAGCAGCATCATCACCCTCGTCATCTCCATCATCATCATCATCATCATCAGCCTCATCATCATCATCACCATCAGCATAATCATCTTCATCATCATCATAATCATCATCTTCATCATCATCGTGGTCGTCAGCATCATCATCACCATCAACATCGTCGTCATCATCATCAGCATCATCATGATCGTCGTCGTCATCATCATCATCATCATCGTCGTCGTCATCATCATCGTCATCATCGACGTCATCGTCGTCATCATAATCATCATCGTCGACATCATCAGTATCGTCATTATCATCATCGTCGTCATCTAATCATCACCGTCATCATAGTCATCATCAGCATTATCAGCAGCATCAGCATCAGCATCATCATCGTCATCATGATCGTCGTCATCACCATCGTCATCAGCATCAGCAACATCATCATTGTGACCATCCTTGACATCAGCATCATCGATCAAAATCATCATCGTCACATCAGCAGCATCATGATCATCAGAATCATCATCATCATCAGCAGCAGCATCGTCGTCATCATTAGCATCAGCATCGTCATCATCATCGTCCCAAGCATCATCATCAGCATAATCATTTTCATCATCATCATAATCATCATCTTCATCAGCATCAACAGCATCATCATCATCATCATCATCATCATCATCATCATCATCATCATCGTCATCATCGTCATCGTCTTCATCATCGTCTTCATCATCATCATCGTCGTCGTTATCATCGTCGTCGTCGCCGTCGTCGACGTCTTGCGGCTGGAGGCCACTGCGAGCACCGCCCTTGCGCCTCCGGCGCTGGCTGCCCGCCCGAACTGGGCCGCGAGCCGGCGGCGGCGGGGGCGGATGCCTTGGGGGGGTCCTTCCGCTGGAGGTCGGGGCTTTCGGGTGCCAGCTGTCCTGGCGAGTGGAGTGGGGTGGTCGCTCCGCCCCGTGAGACGAGAGGCTGGGGAAAGGCTCGGGACGTTGACGCCTGGGGACCTGAGCGTGGTTGGCGCGTTGCGCCAAAGCGGGGGGGGGCCAGAGCCATCGGCGCGACGCGCCAAGCAGAAGCTCCCGGCCGTGCGCTTTAGGCTGGTAAAGCGCGGAGGGGTGGGGGGGACCATGACCGCGCAGACGTCGTAGTCGGCGTCCATCTTGGTCAGCGTCTATCTTGGTCAGCGTGAATTCGTGTACCATCCTTGCGAATCGGCAACGGCCGACATGGACCATGACCAAGATCGGCATCGACAAGACGCTGCGACATGTTGGTCGTGGTCCCCGTATTTCTTCCCCAGGGCGAAGTGCCTGAACATGTGCCATGGTTAGCACCGCGGTTGTGAGTATGGGGCCCTTCCACTAGAAGTCGGGGTTCGGGTGTCGAGAACCTGTCCCTAGAGCCGTTCAGAGGCGTGCGCTCCAGTCATGAACTCGAGCAGAATCCAGCCGCGGCGGCGAGAAGCAGCCAGGAGGCTCGAAAATGATCGAAAAGTATGTCGGAACCTCGAACCTCGAATTCTCGAATTCTCGATTCCCCTCGCCAGGCCCGCGTTCCCAGATCGATCTGCCGCAACTGGCCTCGGCGACGTCGGCGTAGAGAAAGTCGGGCTCCACATCGAGCCGCATCGGCGATGCATCGGCGATGCGGCGCGATCCTTCGCCCCCACCTGCTTAGACCCCATGTGGGGGGCCGAGAATTTACCGCCCTCCTGCCGCTTGCCCCAATCATGCTCACATCGTGAACAAAAAACCGTTCGGAGGTGTTTGGCCGTTTTCGGCCTCTGGAGGTCGCAGGGCCCCAAGACCATCAAAAAACGACTCGGGATGAAAAACCGGCCATGGGGAAAGGGCTGGGACTTCCTGGGACCCTGTATTGAAAAAAAACAAGACATCGCATGTCTGGGGATCGACTTACCGCACCCCTGCCGTTCATAAGCAGCCACATGTGAATCCTGCCCCTGCAGGTCAGATTTGCATATGAACCCAGCCGACCCCAATTAGGGGAGACCTTCCTACTGCATCGCCGTATTGTTTAGCAGTGCTTGGCATATTGTTTGGCATACTGATTGGCATTGCTTGGTTTTGCATGGCGTTGCTTGGCATTGCTTGGCATTGCATGGCGTTGCTTGGCATTGCGCGGCAAGGCAACAAAGAATCAAGCCCAAGGAACCGAGGAACCGAAACCAAGGAACCAAGGAACCAAGGAAGCAAGACCAAGGAACGAATGCATCAAGACCAAGAAACCAAGGAGCCAAGCAACCACAGAACCAAAACCAATGAACAAAGGAACCAAAATCCGCCGACCCCCGCTCGCCGGGGATGAGAAGGCGTGTGGAATGATCGGCTGTCCCCCTCCCCATTTCCCCCTCCTCCAGGGTCCAAAATCTTGTTCAAAGGGGGGGGTATCGGGGCTCTCCTGCACACCCCCGGAGACTCTGGAAGCTTCCAAATCTGCCTTCTGTGGCCTCAAAGACATTCCAAGACGGTCTCTAATCTCGGAACGATTGGGCCAAGACGCTTACGATGGCTCCAGACGCCCCAAGAAGCTCCAGACCCAAGAGAGCTCCGAGAGGCAACAAAAAACAATGGTTTGCCTTATGTTTCTACTTGTTTCTGGGATTAGTTATAATCTGATCGAGCTTCCGACGCTCCAAGACGGCCCAAGAGGCCCAGTAGACCGCCCCAAAACTGCCCAAGAGGCCCCTACAAGGGCACCAGGACGGCCCAAGATGGTTCCAAGACGGCCCAAAAAAGAGCCCAAGACGGCCAAAGATCAAGAGGACCCCAAAAGAGGCAAAGAGGGAGAACACGAACCGAACATCCTATCTTTCCCCCCCAAAGAGGCCCCTCAAAGGCTCCAAGCAGCCCGCAAGCGGCTCACAAGAGGCCCCCGATAAGCTCCAAGAGGCCACCGAGAGGTCCAGAAGAAGCTCCAGAACGGGCCCCAAGACACATCAAAACTGCCTCCGAGAGGCTCCGCCAAGCCCCCGAACAGCTCCCGAGACGCCCGCAAGAGTCCCCAGATAGTGCCCAAAAAGCTCACGACGACTCAACCGTGAACTCCCCGCCTCTGCTGGGGGTCGGCGGAACGGGGTTGAGAATTCGAGGGGAATACGCAGCCAGGCGAACCCCAGCGGGGGTTGTCCGATGCCCCAGCGTCGACTGGACCGGGGAGCAGGGTACGGTTCGCAAGTGGTCGCAGAGCTCGGCCCCCATGGGGGGCGCGGGAGCGAAGGAAGATGAGTACTTGGCTGACTGGTGTATTGGATTCTGGTGTACAAAAACATGGGGGTACGTTTGGACCCTCCGTTATGGACGTCTTAGTTGGTCGAGGGCCCACAACGAGGAGTGCAGAACGGGAGGTCCTGGGGGGCGCCTCTCGCTCCTTTTCATGAGGGGCGCCCAGGGGGCTCCTCGTCGTCACGGCCAAACAAAAAACGCCTCGAGGCCCTGGCGCCAGAGCGGAGCCCCGGACAGGCCCTGGGGCCGATTTTGCGGGCACGGGGGGGCTGGGTGGGCTGGGTGTAACGATCGGGGGCGTCCAAGAGGGGGGCGTCCAAGAGGGGGGGGGCGCATATCATGGCCGACGGCACGTGCGCGGCCCAAGGGGGGGAGGGCCAGGGACGTATTGAAATAAGAAGAGCCGACATGAAATCTGGGGAGATGTCGTGGCCCCCGCCATCACCGCCCTCTTGACCGCCCCCGAAACGAGAGACCCTGGGATGCCGCAGCGCTCTGCCCCGGGCCCGCGGGGCGCTGGCCACCGCCGAGGGGGCCCGCCAGCCCGGGGCTCGGGGCGCCGCTGGAGGCAGCAGCTGGAGGGCCTGCCGCTCTTGGGGCGGCGGCCTCGCCAGCCACGGCAGGCGGAGGGCCATCGAACAGTGGGCTGGCCGCGGCTCCGACCGCGGCTGGGCCCGCCGTGGAGCCTCCGAGGAACGGCTCGGCTCCTGCGGACGCTGTGGCGGCGGCCGACTGCGGCGGGCCTCCGCGCACCCTGGGAGCCACCGCGCCCGCGGGGGCACTGGCGCCGAAGAGCGAAGTGCGTTCCGGCGTCCTCGGCTCGTCCCCGAACAGCGACGCGCGCGCGCCAGGCTGCCTGCTGCTGGTGCCGTGCCCAGCGCCGTCGCCGAAGAGCGGCGACGCCGCTGCCCCACGCCCGCCGGGTGCCGCTCTCGCGACGCTGCTGTCGTCGAAGAGCGACGCAGCCGCAGCCCCGCCGCCCAGCGTTCCGCCCGCGGCACCCATGTCGCCGAAGAGCGACGCCGCGGCGGCCCCGAGGCCGCCTGGCGCCGCGCCAGCGGTGCTACCGCTGGTGCCGAAGAGGGGCGCCGACGGGCCTTGCGCGGGCTCCTCCCCGAAGAGGGAGGCCCTCGGCGGGCTGCGGCCCGCCGGCGCCGCAGGCGCCCCCGCGGGACCGTCACCGGGCAGCTGGCCCGGAAGCGCCTGCGGCGGCCCAGGCGGCCGAGCCGGAGCAGACGGGGCGGCGGGGAGGTCGCCGTCGTCGTCGAAGAGCCCAGGCCTGGCGGCGGGACGGTTCGGGGCAGAACCTGCCTTCCTGCCAGGCTCGGGCGCCGCGGCCGCGGCGGCGGGGCCGGCGTCGAACAGCTGGCCCTGCGGCGGCTTCGGCAGCCCGGGCGCCCGGGCCGGCGAGGATGGGGCGACGGAGGCGGGGGGGTCGCCATCGTCGTCGAAGAGCCCAGGCCGGGGAGCGGAGGCTCCTCCAAGCTGGCCCCCGCCTGTGGGCCGCTCGTCGTCGAACAGCGAGGCCCGCGAGGCCGCGCGTGGGGGCTTCGCCTTCGCGGCAGCTGCCAGCGGCCCAACGGCCACAGGGCCACCGTCGCCGTCGTCGTCGAACAGCGAGCGCGAAGCTGCTGGCCGCACACGCGGGGCTGCGGCAGCTGGGCCGGGCGGCTTCGCATCGGCAGGGTCGTCGTCGAAGAGCGACCCGGAGACCAGGGGACTTTTCGCAGCCGCCACTGCGCGCTGGCTGGGCCCCGGACCGCCGCCGCCGCCGTCGTCGTCGTCGAAGAGAGAGCTCACGCCAGCGCTCCCAACGGGGGCAGCCCGGGGCTTGCCTGCCAGGGCGGCGTCGTCCTCGAACAGGCTGGGCCCCGACGCTGGCGACCGCGGACCGTGCTGCCCAGCGGTCTTGCCCACGCCGCTCGCGGCAAGGGGGTCCGCTGACATGGTCGGGCGCGGCGGCGGCGAGTCGCCCAGCAGGCCCGCGAGGGGGTCGCGGACCTCCCCTGGGTTTCTCCTTCGGCCGAGCATCGCCTCCAGGTCGCCCAGCAATGGGTCGCCGGCGACCTGTCCGGCAGCCCCGAGGGTTTGCTCCTCGGACGGCTCCGCCGAGCCGAGCTCTTCCACTCTGGCGCCGACGTCCTCGGCCTCGGTCCCGACCACCGAGCCAACGTCTCCTGGGCTGGCGGGGATCGACGCATCCGCGGCCTCGGCGTCGGCGCCTCCGCCGTCCGCAGCGTCGATCTGCTCCCAGAAGCCTGGGCTGCCGACCACCAGCGGCAGCGGGCACCACGCGGGCTCCTGTTGGCGACGCGCACAAGGGGATAGGGGGAGGCGGGAATGCTTCTTAGAAGGAGGCTGTTTCTCAGAAGGCGCCGGCCTTACATCTACAGACAAGGCCCGCGCCTTCCAAGAAGCAGCGGTGCTTCTAAGACGCCTTCCCCCTCCCCCTAACCCCCCTTTGCGCGTGGCCGACCTGATGCCGACTCTCCAGGAACCCACAGCCGATCTCCAGCGCGCGGCGGTAGGTGTCGAGGTCCGTCTCCGCGGGCCTGAGCCCGAAGTGCAGATCGTCGAGCGCGTCGAGCGCCTCCTCCGACGGCAGGACGGCACTCGGCTCCTCCCCGCCAGGGTCGTCGATCCTGTGCTCGACGAACTGGTTCTGCGACAGCACGTGGAGCTTGGAGACGACCGTGCGAAAACGCACCTCCACGTCGTCGGCCCGACGGCTCATCTCGCCCAGGTGCTTTTCCACCAGGTTCGCCCTCTGCACCATCTGGCTCTGCAGCGCCTGCAGGGCCTTCAGGAGCTGCTCGTCGTGCGTGGCGTCCCATTGTCCGGCGCCCGCGGCAACGCCCTGGAGGGCCTCGAGCGAGTCTGCGGCCATGGCCGTGGCGTCCACCGCCAGGCGGACCTGTGCCGCGCCTGGCCCGAGGCTCCCTGCTCGAGCCGAGGTGCCCTCTCTGGCCGGTAGGGACAGCAGGCGGGAGAGGGGGCTGTGCTCACACGCGCGGGCGGAGGTGCACGGCAGAGGCCTTGAAAGCCAGCGGCACCCGATGCCCAGCGGAGAGGGTGAGGCGACTAGCGGGCCTGAGCTGGATCGAATTTAGAAATCGGAGCGGATCGGAAACCGATCGGACCCCCGGCGGATCGTCCTGAGTGGAATCGAAATCGGATCGCCACACCCAGCTCCGGCTGGTACTGGCCGGCGCCAAAGAATCGAGCCGAATCGAAGCAAACCGGAACCAAGGCCTCGGCTAGCGAATCGAATCGCATCAAAATCGGATCGCAGGCGACTC